GATTGTTCTACGGAAATTTATAAATGTCAGCAAAGATAACACACTTCTTTCAAGCGGTACAACTTTGAACTATTACTTTCATGACATTTTAAAGCGCTAATAATTCAATTTGTTAACCTTCAGTTCTCGCCGGCTACATATAGGTAAATTAAAAAATAAATTATTTTTTTAACAAAAAATAATCAAATTAAATTTATTTCAGCAGGCCAAGAAATCTAATACGCTTGTTTTGAAAAACACAATCAGTTTGGCTTTGAAGAAGGCTAAAATATATACTCAAAATCAGTACCAGTGTGCAATGTGACTACTCTGAGTTTTGTTTTTAAGCTGATAAAGAGAAGCTTACCTTTCCAGAGAAAAATGTTGTTCCACTGCAGGGTACATTCTCTGCTGGCCAGGAAAATAGTTCATTCATATCTGCAGGAAGACTAATATAAATCCCAAGTCAGACGGTGTATAATAGTTATGCTGATAACAGTAGTCATGATGTCTCGGCAATCTTTGCAACATTTGGTATTTTCAATCAACATTAAGCTTCCACGATAATTCAAAATCTGACAGTGACAAGATAGATTACTTTTGATTAAGCGCTGTTAGTTACTGCCATAACTCTAGAATAACACATTATTTTATTGTCCTGCACAATCAACACACGAGTAATTGTAGAAATTATAGATGAAAGTTTGGCTTTCATGATGGAGAAGTAAATGGTGTGTTTGTAATAAAGCTATTGGCAACTGGCATGCACTAAGTGGCAGATAACACTGAGCTGTGCATCAATTGTAAATTGTAGACAGTCATAACTTTTACATAAAAATTTAATTGTAAACAGTCAGGGCCATAGCCAGAAAAAAGTTATGACTGAGGCAATGCCGAAGGCATTTTATAAAAAGTTGAGTGTTTACAAACAATCATGCGTGTCAACTTAGAATTGAGTGTCGAAAGTAATTCAATGACCGCGCTGAGTGATTGGCTTAAAAAGACTCTTGTCTCTTTGTCATCAAATCTGAGAAGTAAAACGAAGACCAACCGTGACTCGTTCGCACGCGTTTTGACTTTCCCGCACTTCAGGTCAGCTACATGTATTAGCTTCCAGTTTTGATTGGTTCACTGGATTGTCTGTGAAATTTGTCATTGGCCAGAGTGATTGCTTTGGTTTTGGTTTCATGACACTCAATTGAAAACCACTCCACAGTAGCAATTTACCATTACAAATTTCAATTTACCTATGTGTAACTGTGTTTGGTGCATTCGCCAAACACAGCAGGGTTCCATCATCGGCACCCAATATCAGCTCCAGACCTGGTCGCCCTGGCAACAAGTCAGCACTAACAGCCCCAGATAGCACAGTCTTACCAACATTGATGAGCTCTGTACAGCGGTCACTACCTCGGATGATTGCAATCTGGCCGTCAACAAGGGGAATAACCTAAAAGAATCAATGACGTCAGAGTTAAATGTACTGTTAGTTCTGTATATCAGTATTCAGTACTGGTTTCCTTTAATATGCAAAGCTAAAAAGCAACCAGGATGTAGGCGGGTAAGTTTGTTTGCCAAGCTGGAGATTCAGTTTATAGAATGCCCAAATTTGCTTCAAACCTGAAGTTGTGCTGGTAGTTCAATTACACTATTACTCTTTTGTAGAAATCTGTATGAATACACTGTATGGCTGTGTACTGACCAGGTCCTGGAAGCAAGTCACTAAATAATTATGTTTACAGCTGTATCTGAGTTCAAACCAATAACTGAAGAAAGCTGTAGGTGTATTTGAGTGTTTTGTATACTATGTGCATTCCTAAAATGAAAAGACAGCTGTATGATGTACAAGACTGCCAGATTTTGTGTGGCTTTTTTCCACTCTTACTCTTTTTTTTTCACAAGGAAAGAGTGATTCCCTTGTATCTGTAGACTAGTCTCTTCTTATGATTATAAATTATATTATCAAAATGACTTCAAATCCTCAATCATCTACACCTTCAAGTCCAGCAATCAGTTTTGATTCTGTTCTGTTACTTTATGTGTGAAAGATGGAACAGGTTTTTACTTAAGGCTGCCTTATTTAATACACTGCACCACTTACAGTACAATGTACTTGCAATACAAGTACTTACAATATCTGATGCACTGCTTTCTCCAGGGACAAGTTTAGTGACCAGTACAGTTGCTAGTACCTCCCTTGGTAGCTTGACAGGCCACCCCTCCAACACCTTCCCTGTATCTCCTTCAAGAACCCACACATACCTGGTACATGAATGTTCTTTTTTTAAACATTTTTTAAAAAAAATTAACAGTGACTGTGTATATAAAAATTAATGCAGGAATCGTATTAGACCAGTGAGGTCTGTGTTGGGAGAATACATGTATCTGCCCTATGCATTTGACAGTGCAGATCTAAAGCTGCTGGCAGCAACTCAGGTTGATACAGAAAAGACTGAGAATTGATATTCTTCTGGCTTTCTTATCATGGGAGGTTTACTATTTGATTTTATGATTGGCAAAGGTACATACATTAAAATTTAAAGTTAAAAAAAGTTAAAATTTTATCTAGTCCAATGTTGCATTCTGATTGGCTAAACTTAGGGGTTTGCATCATTATTGAGTTCCACTCCTTCCAGACACAAACCTAACTATGTGTAAATGTCCCCTCACCTGTACTGCCTTCTCCCCCCCCACCCACAAGGAAAAAAGAAAGTAATGGATACATTGAAGCAGATTAAAATTACTGGACAAAGGTAAGAAATGGTCATAAAATTGAAAAATGTGTGACCAAAATCATTACAAATTAAATCACAATAATCTTGGACCAAATATTATCTTGGACACTCATGAATGATCAATGCATACTATAAGGTACTTTCTAGATTGATTTTTGGAAAAAATTGTATGTTGTGGGTTGAATTTGTTCTTTGATTTCACATTTTTCAAACCAGTTTAGGAGATTTTTCTTTTCTCTTGTTATAGACTTATTTTGTCATACCCCAAACCCAAGCTTGTTTAATTATGAAATTTATACCTAACCACATCCTGATGTACACTGTACTCAGTATAATTATCCAGATCATGACAAGTCAATGAAACAAACAGTAAAATATACATTATGTAAATTACCCATCAAATGTAGCAACAACAGCTTCCATGAAACCATCTCCATCCACATCAGCTACACGGATCCCTGCAGCACTTGAACTAGAAACTGTAGCCTCCCACACCTGACATAAAGTATCAAAAGCAAAACAAAATGTTTATAACATTTACTATAGTAAAACCCACTTATAAGAGCCTACTAATTAAAACCCCCGTAGACTACAATTTTGGCATTTAAACCCCTATTGGATTAGAACCTGTTCAGCTTAAAATTGAGACAGGTTCTTATTAGTTAGGTTGTCATAATGCAGTTTATTGAGCAGCATCTAGAGCAGAATGTAAAGAACCTGAATGACCTAAATTCCCAGGAGACACAACGTATATACCAGTAAGAACCTTTATTGTGTAACCTGAAACAAAAACTAGGTTCTTTTAGGTGGTTTTTTACTGTTATTGAAAAGAGTTGCAAATGCCTACATTACATGAAAATACACTATTTGCGAGAACCAAAAAAACTTTCTGTAATTAAATTTTGTGCTAAATCACTAAAAAGAAATTACTAGGAAATTTAGCAATTCAACACTGACCATTTTCCCTTTAAGGCTCTTACAAGCAATATTCCCGCTGTTGTCTATTGCCAGAATTTCAAACAAACCATCTTGATTAACATCTGATGCAATGACCTGAAAACCACACACACATGCAATGTTTTGACAAACTTACATGTAGCAAATTCAGCCTTGTAGTACAAATAAAATAAAATTTGATTTCACAAATTTCTGCTTAGAACACCATTAGCCAGATTAAAGATTAAAAAACAAGTCTTCTCAAGTTCTACATGTTAGTGCCCACAGCATATCCCAGTTCACTATGCATCATGCAAGTAATTATTTTGCAACTTGCTAACCTGCTCTACGGACACCCGCTTAATACTGACACCCTTATATAACGGACAGTTTTGTTTGTCCCGACAAAAAGCTTATAATAATATATATTTTCTCTAAAATTTACCCCCTAATAAAGACACCGGTTAACACAGACAACAAACACAGAAAAGATAGTGAGTAGCGTAGTCAATCAGAGGACGTCATTTGCAACAGAATGCATAGATTATTTTATATTAATTGAATTACTACTTTTACAAACTAGTTATTTACTTGGCCAGGAATGCTGTCCATGGTGCTAAGAGATTGAGGCTCTTGTGTTGAACTCTTCACAAGGTAAACCCTTCCTGATGATGTCCCCATAACAACCCCAGCACCTGGAACAACAGATGCAGCTGACAGCACATAGGCAGGGTACTGACTGGATTGCTGCAGGTTAAAAAGGAAACACTGAATTAAACTTTGATTGCGTAAGAGGGTAGTTTTCCTCTTGAACACAATGCAAAACTGCAGTCTGTACAAGTCTGTAGCTCAGTGTGAATGTTTTCCTCTGATCCACATGAACCATTTTTGTGAGCCTGATTATATTACAACTGCAAACATGATTGTGGTAAACATTACTTTTAAATTAGATTAATGCTTGACAAAATTTTACCAAAGGATATTGTAATATATAGATTTAGACCAGCCCAAAAGCACAGCTCCCGGGCTGGGTTGTTCAGAGCCCGATTAGGCTAACCCAGGAAAAGGTAGAATTTTGATTTGAGTTTTGTAACTTTGTGGTGAGGTTTTCTGTATATTGTTTGGCCTTCTGTTTTGAGTTTTATAATAAAGTTTCCATATAATGCGCGCTCTGATTGGCTGAAAGAGCGTGCTTTATCAGAGAACAGAGCACGGGTTGATGACGGTAAGTTGGCTTTCAAATTTTTGCTTCAGAATTTTGACAAATTTGCCCCAAATTAAACATTCCCTGTGATTCAGACAAATGCAATGGAAACGAGCTATTTGTGTGTAGTAAATATGGCTCACAGAGACCATTGTTAGAAACAGTAGTGTTATAACTGTACTAAAATAACAAGTTTTACTATATTCCCGCCGACAAAACACATAGCGAAATGAACAAATTCTCAACCTAAACAGTGTTTTGATAAAAGACATTATATTTGTTACGAAGGCAGAAATTATACTTAAGAAGTAAAACAACGACAGAAAACAACAATTGAACAGTCTGTTTATGATGAGAAGCTTTATTTTTGAAAAATTCTCAATTGCTCAAACGACACTTACATGCAGTGTAGTAACGCTCGTTCTGCGGTCATCTCAGCAAAGTGGACCAACGAGTGGTCAGTGCAAAGCTTGCTCTGATATTCTCTTGTGTGCTCCAAGTAGTACCAGTGGGAGCCGTTTAGTCTTTCTAACTTTTACGCTAGTTCGGGCAATCTTGCTGCATGCGGCTACAAGCCGTAAATAACTGTAGCTCCTTTCAAAT